ACTCCCATGGGTACAGAGGGCTCACATCCTGTTCCTCAGGACTCTAGTAAACACAAACTACCTTGAAAAAAAATGTCTGCATCCCTCCTGGCAGTGAGAGCCTCATTAGTGCCAGAGTAACGTCCAAGGCTCCAGCGCACAGCACAGCTGGACAAAACAGGGCCACAGCATTATTTAATAACGGTGAATACAAATAATTTTGCAATGATAGTGTCATACATGATCCTGAATGTAATAACAAATATGTACAAGGTTCAGATATCAGTGAACACAATGCTAATTATGATGCTCACAGCAAGCGGCCAACATTCACAGCACACAGGGAAGGTTGTGAATCTACGCATCATGCAAAGTGACGTCATGTTCCTCTAGTAAACAATCTTGTTCAAAATCATTCATATTCATGATTTGGTGACAGGAATCTGATAATAATAGCAGTATTCGACATGATAACGCCAATGTACATAGTGTATTTCTGTATATTTTGATGTGTCTGTAGCGAGTTAATCTTATACTCGCTCCATTATCTCATAACTAATTAGCACTAATTACAGAAGCTACAATCCTTTCCCAATTACAGGTAATACTCTTCTCATCTTGTTGGAGGGAGCTGAGGTGTAGTCACCATACAAGCAAGCGATATGAGGAATAGCGGACAGTACAATTTCCACAGTCAACAATGTAGCACTCGGCGTGTACAGTTCTAATCGACCCAAGTTGCCCCACATAGAGCTCCGCGACTCCGGCCTCATTCAGCTCTCTGCTCTGCTCCAAGCTCCGTCTGAACATTTACAACAATGCCACCAACCGACTACTGTAATCAAGACTACTAAATAAATATGAAAACTCACTAAACAATGTGTATCTAATCTACCCAACAACGTAACATAATCGTACGTTACACGTCAAGTGACATTGGCTGCTGGAGTCAGCTAGTTGTAGCGTGTACATACCTCTATACTGTGAGAAGATTTCACCGCCTTACACTTTAGAATTACTTAGTGGTTTGTTATGTTTATAAAAATAGAGATTAATGTATATAATGTCTGTATATAGCGTAATAATAACAAAAACACTGTTGTATTCAGCTAAGAATATATAATGTGTCACTAGATACGAGCCTCATATTTTGAGCATAATGATAGTCAACATATTTAACTATATAAATTCCTCAAATTACACAGTATTGAATAATATTACTGCACAAATCCAGAGAAAAAACCAATGAGAGACATTTAAATAATTATGGATAAATATATTTGTGGCAACTGGCACCCCACAAGCTGGCTGAGCCTAGTGTGTCCTGGCACCCCACAAGCTGGCTGAGCCTAGTGTGTCCTGGCACCCCACAAGCTGGCTGAGCCTAGTGTGTCCTGGCGCCTTACAAGCTGGCTGAGCCTAGTGTGTCCTGGTGCCCCACAAGCTGGCTGAGCCTAGTGTGTCCTGGTGCCCCACAAGCTGGCTGAGCCTAGTGTGTCCTGGCGCCCTACAAGCTGGCTGAGCCTAGTGTGTCCTGGTGCCCCACAAGCTGGCTGAGCCTAGTGTGTCCTGGTGCCCCACAAGCTAGCTGAGCCTAGTGTGTCCTGGCGCCCCACAAGCTGGCTGAGCCTAGTGTGTCCTGGCGCTCCACAAGCTGGCTGAGCCTAGTGTGTCCTGGCGCTCCACAAGCTGGCAGAGCCTAGTGTGTCCTGGCGCTCCACAAGCTGGCTGAGCCTAGTGTGTCCTGGCACCCCACAAGCTGGCTGAGCCTAGTGTGTCCTGGCACCTCACAAGCTGGCAGAGCCTAGTGTCTCCTGGCACTCCACAAGCTGGCAGAGCCTAGCATGTCCTGATGCTCCACAAGCTGGTAGAGCTAAGCGTGTCCTAGTGCCCCACAAGCTAGTAGAGCCTAGCGTGTGCTGGTGCCCCACATGCTGACAGAGCCTAGAGTGTCCTGGCGCCCCACGAGCTGACAGAGCCTAGCGTGTCCTGGCACCTCATCACTCAGCACCTATAAATTGCTCAAATTCTCAGCTCCATCAACACTAAACTATGTCACATATAACATTTTTTTGTTAGTTTCCAGTGATCAGAAGACACAGTTTAACAATATAATAAGAAACAAATTTTGGGGGAATACTGTTTTTTCAGTGCACCACAGCTTTGTCACAATTAAGGTGGCACAGTGCTGCAGCTAGGGATGGTTCTAGATAGAAAACTATCACCTGAGGACCATATAAAGAACATTGCGTGAAGAGCCTATGCTACGCTTTCCAATTTCAGAATTGTTAAATACTGTATGAGCTCACTTATCTGGATTCCGCTAAACCGGATATTTGTGTTATTCGGCCAAAATCGCATCCGGATAATTTTCCGGCAAAACTTCACAATATCCGTATAGTAATCTGGATAACCGGAGGTTTGGTCGGATACCGCAGAAAGGCATAGAGTTTAAAGCATGTCCGGATAATTTTATGACAAAACTTCTCCATATCCGGACACAAATTCGGATAACCATGGATTACGTTACGTAAATTTTCAAGAATTACACATTTCAAGATCTACAGTATCAAACAACATGACAAACTACAACAAGGTAATCTTTAGTTTTTCTTTTTTAAATTATAGTTCTGATTTATAGTGTGTGTGTTGAAGTTCAAATTATGTTGCTTGAGGTACAAAAAGTTGTGAATATGGTCATTTTTGGACTCTCCTTGTAAAATTTCTGCTTATCCAGATGTCTGGCTTATCCAAATGGGGGTCTTCCTCATACAGTCCTTATAATAGAGTTCATATAGTACATGGATGATGAAATACTAAAGAAATTGTTCACGACCTTTGTGAGACCAAAATTGGAATATGCAGCAGTTGTATGGTGCCCATATCTCAATAAGCACATCAATAAACTGGAAAAGGTGCAAAGACATGCAACAAAATGGCTTCCGGAACTGAAAGCCAAGAGCAACAAGGAGAGACTAAAGGCTAGAAGATAGAGAAAAAAAAGAGGCGATATGATCACAACGCACAAAACAAACAGAAATTGACAAAATAGATAAGGAAAAATTGCCGAGACCTGGAACTTCAAGAACAAGAGATCACAGATTTAACTAAACAAAACTGCCAAAGAAATATATTAAAATTCACTTTCACAAACAGTGTTAGACGGTTGGAACAAGTTAAGTGAGATGATGGTGGAGGTCAAAACCGTCAGTAGTTTCAAAGTGTTATGTGACAAGGAGTGCTAGAAAAACTGGACACACAAGCATAGTTCTCCTCTTGTAACTACACTTAGGTAATTACACATATTTAGTTTGAGAACTGTCCAGAACCCTGTGCATAATTAGTGGCCTTATGCAAAATATAAATATCTACTATATAAATATTGCAATCAGACCCTAAGAAATATTTTGTTATATAAATATAATACTATAGAGATCCTATATAATACATTGTTATTTTCGATGTTATTTCATAATGGGATGTCTCACCATAGAAAAGGAGGAGAAAAATGATGATAATCATGAAGAATGCTTGACCAATAATATTCCTGAGCATGATGCGAGAGATGAGTGGACTGGTTCTTCCATATGGTTTTCTATGCAGGAGAGCAGCAGAAGGCGGCTCCGTGGCCAGCGCAAGTGATGCCAAAGTATCCATAATCAAGTTCACCCATAGCATCTGCACTGTCTGAGAGGAAGGCAAGGTTGAGGAAAGGGAACTGTTTAAAAATAAAAGAAAACAGCCGTGACAACTTTTTGTTTGTATACCTTCCATATTAGATTTCACTCCAATGTAACAAGAGATGAGGCACTCTTTGAGTCATGTCCCTTGAGCATAGGGACACCTGAATTTTGCAATTAATGTTATGTATAATGCAACCCATACATGGAACAGTAATTGTATCTACCCAGAAAGTATCTAGGTTATAACAGGCACATATTCAAAACAATTAAAGAGATCATTTATCTGTTGTTGTGTTTGGCTGTTTCACACAAATTTATTATCAATATGGCTGTGGATTCTTTGATTACACATATCATTGCAATACTACTTCAGAAAATAAGAAGTGCTTGATATTCATATCACATTTATTCACAAATTTAATACTAGACATGAAAATATAAGGGGTCTTTCAGTTTAATTATTTAAAATACCCAATCATTCAACTATTCACAAAAGTAGACAAAACCAGAGAAGTGGTGGTACTGTACTGCAATTTACTACTGTCAAGAGCTATCATGCTCAAACACTATCAGAACTAGAGACATTTGTGGAGAGGGTGGAGAGGATATCTTTACCCATTTCAAATTTAAGTATTCGGAGACAAACTTAGAAAAGAGCTCCATACTGTACAAATATCACAGCAAAATTTCAAGAAAGTGCAATTGAAGAATTAAAATAACTGTTAGTTCCAAGTTCAGAATAAGGATGAATAAAGCAAATGAGTTATGTGATAAATCAAGATAGATGTTAGTTTAAAAATAAATACTTCTGCCAGATTGGCAGGTAATGTTTCATGTGGCCAATCATATTGTTTTACAAGAATCTGACAGTAGTAATTGAGAACTTAAATTTGTTCATACCTTCAGGGGAGAGTCACTAATGATACAGACGCTGACAAAGGCGACAGTGACAGCTACACAATTAACAGTTAACTGGAATTGGAGGAACTTGGAGATGGAGTCGTAAACGTTCCTACCCCACATGACTGCCTTCACAATGGATGAGAAATTGTCATCTGTTAAGACAATGTCGCATGCCTCCTTGGCCACATCGGTACCCGTGATGCCCTAGGGAAAGGAGGCCACAAATCACTCAGGGTCAACAAGAAAACAGGAGATGCTTTTTCACCCATAGGGTGAAAAAGCAACTCATGGAACTACCATGGAAGTACCCATGGAACAGCCTAACCACCAAAGCCATAAATGCCAAGACATTACTGCAGTTCAAAATCCAGTTGGAAAAAATCCTCAAGAAAAATAGCAGGACCTTTGACAAGCCATCGGCTTCCTGTCTCCATCAAGGTCTCTAGAGAGATGGTGGCTTTCAGGATAATGCTTGAATTAACTGCAGAAAAGTCATGGCTTTATAATTCAGTGAACAAATAAGCCTAGTAACATTTATATTAACAAGCTCATCATGTTTCTTACCTAAACAGTATTCCTTTTCTTTTTGTCTATAGCATTCCCTTCATTATCAGGGCCCTTGTTTTGCTTACAGAAAGTTTACTTTACAGCTGGAAAATATCCTCAGGAATAATGGGGAAGACCTTTGATAAGTCTCTGGCTCCTTTTCCCATTAATGCCCCTAGCTACAGATGGTAGCCTACAGGTAAGTTCAGTTAATAATTAGAACAGCTTTAACCCTTGCACTGCACACTAGATTTAATAATTATTAATGATAATACTAATTCACTGTTGGGAGACAGGCAGCCAGAGTGTATTTATACATGTTAGGCTTATTATTGAGGTACCCCCCCCCCCAAAAGTCAAATTACTGACCACCCAGGATGCAACTCTACCACAAGCTGACTAACTCCTGCATACCTAATTACTGCTAGGTGAACAGGACATTAAGTGATAGGAAATGTGCCCAACCATTATTGTCCCGCCTGGGATTTGAACCCAGAATTCTCGATTGAAAGTCAAAAACAAATCCGACTACAAGTCAAAAACAAACCCGACTACTACCGTGACCCTGTGTTATCACAGGGTTGTCATTTATATGACAACCCCTTTGTGAACAAGAAAAATTGTATTCTGATAATTATTATTTTTAATATTAAAATGTGTTCCCTGATCATAGGAAAATTAAAAGCTTGAGATGATGCCACAATTCATGGAGCCGATGTCCAGAAGAGGTCGCCCGTACCAGGCTTGGGTCGGGAGCTGCCACGAATATATTTCTACTGATTTATTTCAGTGTCACTGATCTGTTTTCCTCATATATTATGCAGTAGTGTGTAATTTGATAAGTTTCTATAGTAAAATATGAAGAACATTGACATGCATACATATACAGTCATGTCACTAATATGCTCACAATATTATATTCTTTGGTCAATAAAATATATTGATTTTGCTATTATCATACTGTATTCACAAGTTATATAAACTATCTACATGTTTATGCACCGTTGCAACCTACTAAGCAGTTCTAGTGAGTGTGATAATCTTGTGACTGTTGATCTAAACACATCATAGCCACACACACACACACACTCGTCAATTACTGATGGCACCTGATAAGGCAAAATGCCACCCGATATACTATACTATGCACATCACTAACACTAACTAAAACACTGTTATTATTATGAGAATTTGGTCACTAAAACCTGAATATAAATAAATTTTCACATGTTCATTTTCTAAAGGAACATGAGGATCCATTGCATGATGCATACACACATGAAACTGTGGGTGTGTGCTGTGGCCGAGAGCCTTGCACTATGAACATCATCATGTGCATCAGGTTCATTGACATCTGAACCTTGTACATAGTCTTTATCACTGCCAGAGTCTTTAACATCATTATCATTGATAAATAATTGAAGTTATTTATTACATCATCATTAATGATGCTTTGGGCATGAGCTGCTGCTGCTGCTGCATTTACTACTCATAGTTGTTATGTTAGTAGTGAGGCCCTCACACCCAGAAGGGGTGCCCACGATTTTTCCCAAGGTGGCATCTGTTTACTGGAGGCTTGCAAAAGAATAATGTACATGGTACATTAATACATCCATGGATGTGTTGTGCAATTGAAGGGTTAATGGTGATAACATTCCTGGTTATGATACATAGTTGATAGGTTACATCACAATTATGAAGTTCTTACACAGCACTGATTTATTTACATATCCCATTTGACAACAAGTTTTGAAAGAACTCTCAATATAATACTAGGGAGCCCTCACCATGGCAAAGCCCACGTCAGCCATCTTGAGTGCTGGGGCATCATTGGTGCCATCACCTGTGACAGCCACTACCTGCCTGGTGTTTCCAGCATGGGAGCTAATGATACCTTGCACCAACACATACTTGTCCTGTGGTGAAGATCGCGCCAACACTCGCAGATGTGGCCACACTTGGTCAAACAACTTCTGTGACACCTGTGTGTATGCCCTTGAATTAAAAAAATTGCCTACATACACATTGTTAATGTTTCATACAATAAATTGTGGCTTTCACAGGCATTCAGCTCCTTCAAAACAGTGATCTATCTCATCCTCCTGTTAAAACAGTACATATATATAAAAATGGGGTATATGTGCATATTATTGACTTTAAATATTAATCAAACAGTTCACAAATTGTCCTTCATACAAACAAAATATGAAAAGAAGGCTATTGAACATACTGCACTCCTTTCCACGTTAGAGCCGTAAGACTTTATTCCGATACTAGGATCTTGTGATCTTATGTCAAGTGTTGCTAACTAGCAGTTGGACCTAGACAAAGAACATGTATATAGTTCATATCTATGGTGATCTTGTATCACCATTTTTCCCTTGCCTCTAATAAGGGAGGTTCCGACACTGGTCACACAATCTAACTTTTATTAAGCCTAGTAAATTAACTATAAAATTGATCACTAAAATTACTTTCATTCACTATATTATAAAATGTATTAAAAGGGCGCTTGATAATCTGTCACGAAGCTGGGAAAAAAGGGGTACAGGGGATGGTTGCGTACCTACAAGGCTTTGCCGCCTGTGTCCTTCATGCTCTGCCGCCTGTATCAAACAACACAACATAAATATATATAAAGATTATTTAGCAAATTTCATCCTAGACAGCATGCTAGTATTTTATCTAGATGAAGTAGATGATGACTTACCTCACCATTATTATCTCGTATTCTTTGATTGAATTCTTTACTGTCCATAACAAGACCATTACGTCCAGGCTTGAGAATACCGCACTTGCCAGCAATGGATCTGGCAGTATTGACATTGTCGCCAGTCACCATCCTCACTGTCACTCCCGCTCCTTCACACAACCTAATGGCATCAGGAACCTGCACAAAAATATACATACAAACATGTGAATTAGTTGTTTTAAAACCAGAACAACTGTTTAACTTTTTCTCTTCTCTTCCTCTCCCTCTTCCAAGTTTTACCCGTGAGCATGCACCCAACACTTGCACTCAGTCCCATAACGCTCGGAAGAAAAATGTATTTTTAAAGAATATTTTAGGTGTGGACACAACATGCATCCCCGCCAAAGATCTGTAGATTTATTTATAGACACAATATGCCTTACCACCCAGGCAGTGTTAAATTTTTTTTTTTTTTACACATTCCTTTATATCAGTCAAAGTAATTGCAAGAACAGTACTGTAGTTGGATGTCACACACATATATATAGCAGACAAGTATTTTGCATTTAACAGAAATACTCTCACTGTTTGATATTTTCATCAAGCAATATCACATCATCTGCAGCCACCTTTAACATTCAGCAATTCACATAAATAAAAGACAAATAAATGGAAATAATTTTATGTGAAATTTGGGATATCCCGCATTAATATGGCTGTGATAAGCCAAACTTTATAGGTATGCTTGTAGAGACTGTTGATAATCATAATAATAATAATAATAAAAAAGAGTGCTAAACCAGTGTGGTCATATAAAGTAATACTATGCAAGTCACAGACCAGTCAGTGTTTTCCTAAATATCACTCAGGATACTTATACCTATACAGGAGCAGAATAGTACAGATTATTGAATTAGTATGATTCATTGAAGATTGTATTAACACAGGTGATGTAATTTGACAACTGGCAAAATACTGTATCTTCATATAGACTGACATTCTGAAACACCATGGTTAAACTTCCAGTAAGTATCATACTAGTGAGGGGATGGGATATATATTTTTTTACATAACATTCAACTTCCCTAAGAATCACTAAGGATGGGAGGGCTTCACTATCCAAAGGTAGTTTTCACCATACTGAAAATTTAAGTTCATTTGTCACAGGTATGTTAAGTATATGTCCCAATATGGATATCCTTGGCATTATAAAATATATTTAATATCATTAGGACAATCGTTTAGGGGCCTATCTACAACTGATACATTGGCTGGAATGATGATTGCATTTAATTAGAGTTTACCTCAATTTGTTTGTAATTTTTACAAAATTTTACAAAACAAAATTTTTACGAAAAAGCCCTGTTAGATAAATGTTCCAAAACCTCTCTACTACTCTTGGAAATACTAAAACACTTTAAAAAATAGGGTATGCTTGGTCTGGATCCTACCCTTTGTCTAACTCACAGAATCGACCAGTGTCCTTTCTTAGGTTTTAAGCATGTATTTGCAGTACAGGCTTTGTTAATACCAGATAAATTTCAGGTAAATTCAGGTTTACCTGATGTAAACATGTAAGAAAATGTTGAAATTAGTTAAAATATGAAAGATAATAGTGAAAATTTCCTTGGTACAAATTTATGGCACTGAAATATCAAAATAAAAGAAGTAAAATAAAAAATAAATAGAAGAAAATAAAAGCAGTAAATATTTTCAAATTGTTTGCTAAGAAATATTATAATCTAAGGGAAAGCATAGTGTAACTCCAAACCCAACCATCACCTCTCACTTCTTCCCATGTATGGGGTTTACCTCTGTCCTAACAGGGTCCTCTACACCAAGGATGGCCAGGAGTGTCAGGTTGGAGATAATGCTGTCCTCTTCCTCCCACTCTGGTGTCTTGCTGATCTTTGTCTGGGGAAAATTACATTTACAAATGTTAGACAGAACTGTTGCCTCCTGCCATAAATAGCTATGTTGATGGGTGTGGTCTAAAGAAATGTGGTAACAGTGTTTTCATATGACAGAGGTACAGCAAGTCACGTTAAGACTGTATTGTAACCGATGACAGAATTATTTCACACTGCAAACATTTCAGATACAGATATAACCAGTTCATTTCCCTAACCAAGTGTGCTCTAGTGAATAAGTTGAATATAATGTTTGTTTTTCCTGCCCGAAACACTTTGCGTAATAGTGGCTTTAGGCATTCTATGTACTAGCTCTATCTATAAATCCATCAACTTTTTGTATCTCACCTTGTATGTATGTACTTTACCTGAATAAATATTTGTATTTGTATAAATTGATACTTATTATACTCAATCACCATCGAGGCAATGTGAATCATAAATACAGTGCCTTATATGCATTTATTGGTTAGCTTCTCTAGCCAAATTCTTCCTCCGAAGCCAGCAGGCCTCGCATACACAAGTCCCCTGTGACCAATGCAGCTGAAAGGGAAGGAACCTGCACATGAAGCTGCATCACACCAACATCCCGCGGAAGGGCAGGGGTGAACAAGCACTCATTGAGATACTCAAATGCACCCCCCAGGAAAACCTGCAACGCTGTCTGAGCCTCCCGCCACTTATGCGTGTGGGACTGACAGAACGTATGCCATGCCTCCAAAGAGAAGAAAGGGCAGTCTGATAACCAGGACGACTCCAGAACTTTGTAACGAACCCAGTAAGGACAAGAAGATCCATACATGAAGGAACACGGATTCATCACAAAAGCAAAATCTGGGTCATTAAGGAGGTAAGCCGCAAGGGCTTCCTGCATCCACTGTGACTGGACTCTGGAAGCCAGAAACCTCCAGAAAGATGGAACCAAAGAACTGTCGGGGTCACGGAACCAAACCTGGGGAGGGGTAGACGCCAAATCCAACTCATTCAAGGAGGGAGCAAAAGAGAACCCCCTCACCCTGTAACACCAAGCCCCACTCCGAGGGTATAAAAACCCAAGTGAGGTCCAATGAGGATCCAAAGCCCCAAGTCAACCCCTCCCCCACCTCAGGAACCTCACCTCAAGGATCTGGGGCCGAGCCATCCTCTACACCCCCACCTCTAAAGAAAAGGCAGAAGCAGTCAAAAAAACAGGAACGAAAGGGAGCCCACTGGTCACACCCAGAAGCTCTGGCAGGAGGACCAGGCTCGAATGCCTGATCCACCCTGGAAGGGGACTCCCCAAAGACTGCCCAAGTTTCAACACTAACTAAACTCCCTTACTCCGAAACCCTCAGACGCTTCGGAGCTGGAAGCAAGGGAGAGGGGAGGGGAGGGGAGGAACCGGACGGACAACAGAAGGGGAAGGACAAGGGGGGGGGGAAGGATGGAACCAGAGCCAATGCGACTCCCACCTTCAAGTTCGGCCTCTCAAATGTATTCTATATATTTAAAACTCTGAACTGTAATTCCAATTCTGGCTTTAAATGCTTCCTAGAAGGTTGTAATGGGCACCACACCAGAAACAAATACCTATTTGATATTCCAAGAATGCACCTTAACCAAACTAGAAATGCTCTACAAATCAAGGGACCCAGAATGACCTTCCCAATCATGTCAAAGGCTGTACCTCTCTCAACCAGTTTAAGAGAAAAAACTAAGTACTATCTAATAAACTCCATGTAACCTACCTTACCCCCTAAATGTCAACCCATATCTTGCTATTTTCAAACAATTCTGTTTGTTGACCAACTTGTACAATTGCTGATTTCTGCCAAGGTTCCCCCCCCCACCCCTTTTTTACCTTTTTCAGCACAATTTATATTTTAATCTCAATTAGTATTAAGTTTTAGTCTAAGTTTTCCCCACACCTTGCCAAAAATGCTGTGCATATTAGTGACTTTAGGCATTATATGTTCAAACTATCTATAAATCCTACATTATGTTTGTAACTCATCTTCTATGTACTGTATGTACTTTTACCTGAATAAACATTTGAATTTGAATTTGAATTCAGCCACCCACATTTTTACCCTCATGCTCATGACTTGTTGAAGAACACCAACATTGCAGTTTTCTTCTCAACTGTTAAAACTTGTTTTAACATTAAAAAATTAAAAGTTGTTGAAAATGCATTGCATTTAACAAGTGCTTATAAACAAATTAGCTGTAATTAAGAATGCCAATGAAAGCAATCTTGTTGTCAGTGTTGGTCCTAAACTGTTCCTCTGTACCTGGTTCATGTTGGCCTCGAATGGTACGAAGTCCCTGTAGGCAACACCAATGGTGCGGAGGCCTTCAGAGGCCATACGGTTGATCACATCCCGCTCAAGCTGCTTCTGCTCCTCCATAGTAATTTTAGCAACCTCACCTTGCTTGTTTAATTTGAAAGTGCACCTGGAAAAATTAAACTAGAAATAAGATATAATTCAGTTCAATTTCTTGAAAATTATAAACAAATACTATTTAATTACTGTGAATTTTAGTAAGGTTTGTGTATTTGCAAGTATAGAACATGGATGTACAGTACTGGCAAACACCTGTACATATGTGGGTATACAGTGGTACCTCAGCTTACGAATTTAATCCATTCCCAAAGACAGTTCATAACCCGAAAATTCGTAAACTGAAGCGAATTTTCCTGTAAGAAAAAATGTAAATTGAATTAATCCGTCCCACACTCCCAAAAATATTGATCTCAAAGTCAATTTTATACCTAATTCACCCAAATCTTTAGTACTAAAGTATGTACAAGTTATTGCGTACCTTTATTGATAACTCTTGTTGGCATATGGAAGACGGTGAGGAGGGAAGGATAAGGAGAGGTGTTTATGTTTGGAAGGGGAGTCCCTTTCCATTATAATATCAGGCAGTGATGACTTCTCTTGGGTACTCACTCTCTCATACATTTTGCAGGAGTACCACTAGGACCTGGTTGTGGCTCACTGCTTGCTTGTCTTATTGAGAATGTGTCTAAAGACACTTATTTTTCCCCTACATTTTAACACTTGTTTGTAGTGAGACATCACATTATCATTTAAAAGGTCAATGCAACGGCCTGCTACGGCTTTTTCTGGGTGAGCTTTTTCAACAAAACTTTGCAGTTCTTCCCATACTTTACACATTTTCTTAATAAGGAAGGGACATCCTCTACTGCCTCTAATCAACTATTTTCTTAGGTGAGGCTTGGTCACCGTGCCACCATGTACTAGGTCGGCCATATGCATGTCAACAAACTACGTTACCCGAGACAAAGTTCGTAACCTGATTCAGATTTTAAAAAGAAATTGGGCTCGTAACCCAAAAAGTTCATAAAGAAGAGCATTCGTAAGCCAAGGTGTCACTATATATGTATAGTATAGATATATTTATGCATCTGAGATGTATTTGTGCATCAAAGTGTGTGTGTATTCACTCCTTGTGTGTACAGTGCATGCACATGTAAATAGGAGCACACATAAATTACCTTTTGACGACAATTTCTGAAGCACCCTTCGTAAAGACCCTGAACCCTCCGGCACCCAAGGGAACCACTGTTGACATGGATTTCCGAGCAGAGTTAAAGGTGTAAACTTTGACATATTTCTCTTCCGGGTATTGGTCCCTAATACCCTGGTAGCTTTGGCCAAGGTCTGTCACAAACCCTAACAATGCGCACTCCGTTTTGTTGCCAATCTGTTTAGGTAACTCTCCTGGGGTGTCAGAGGGAATGATCTTTGAAGTGTAGTTAGTGTTGATGCTGATGGCCATCACTGTCATCTCTGCAACACTTGAGGGAAGGTCCTCATACTTTGGCAGTGTCCTGATCAACATGATAACATTATGAGAATTGGGTAAAATTCACAAATTATTGTGTTCCGAGATTAGTTCCTGATATTATGATTTGGTAATTATTAATTTTAAGTAATGCAAGTTCATGGCAACAAATTAGATACATTTTATTGCAATAAAGTAACAGTACTTTGAAATATTTAATGTATGCATTTTTTATGTTGAGGGTGTGAAGTTCTCAGACTAAGTAACTGTGCTTTCAATAAAGTAATTTTGTAGGTGAGGTACATCTCTCGTGTATATATAAGAATTTCTAACCTGTACATGGTGCCAGCAATATTAGCAGCAACAACAGTCATGCGGTTGGTGGTAAGAGTTCCTGTCTTGTCAGAGCAAATGGTTGTGGCATTGCCCATGGTTTCGCAGGCATCCAAGTGCCGAACTAGGTTGTTATCTTTCATCATTTTCTGCAAGGCATTCAGCACTTAAATAAGCACATTCAGGAAAGCATGTCTTACCAGTACCTCTTTGTAATGGTTCCTGGGTCATACTAACAACAAAGGCAATACAAAAATAAACTCTGCCAATTAATATCTCATTGAAATTTTTAAAATACTTAATAATTTGAAGGACATTGATCCAGATCACTTCTTCAAAAGGTCAGATGTAAAGCAAACAAGGAGTAATGGTTTCAAGCTCAACAATCCACAATGTAGGACAGAAAACAGGAGATGCTTTTTCACCCATAGGGTTATAAATCCATGAAACCACCCACCCACTGAAGCCTTAAATGCAAAAATGCTGCTGAATTTCAAAATCCAGCTTGATAAAAATCATCAAGACAAGTATGGGGACTTTTGACAAGCTGCCAGCTTCCTGTTCTCGTTAAGAACACTAGAGATAGTGACCCTCAGGTAAATTTGAGTAAATTCAGGTAAAATACATTTTATCTATAAGACTCCTACGCCTCTTGAGCTCCCACTTTTACTCACTTTGACAGAGAAAGCGAGGGAGATGGTGACAGCGAGGGGAAGACCCTCTGGCACTGCAACCACTAGCACTGTTACACCAATGATGAAGAAGTGCACAAATGAGTTGATGTGAGTCATGTTGAATTTCTTCTTTTCAACTGCATATGTCTTTACACAGAACTTCACCACCAGAATCACAATGGTCAAGAGGGCTATTGCAGAACCTGACAAATTTGAAAGAAAAATAATGAAAAACTGACAAATTCTGGAAGAATAATTGGACAGCATAGAACAAAGAAAGTACTGTACTGTATAAATTATTAATTTGTTACTAAAATGTAAAACATGCTTTATTGTTACAAAAATCAAATAAATTATAATGGATAACTAAATAAAAAAAAACAGCGTTGAATGTAATGAAACGCCATTTTCTGGGTGAGTCCCAGACGCTCCCCAGAGCTATCCATGGCTGATATGGATACCCTAACTATTTTGCATCAGTCGATGTGGGTGGAGTTCTAGGCGCCCCAAACTACCAAGCAAACTGCTAAAGCTGAACCCGCGGGACGTGTCCACCTGTGAGGAGGAAGCAGGGGGTGCCACCACACAAACGACCCTAATATAAGTGGGTGGGGGAACACAAGGCAGACCCCCTACCAGGCAAAAACAAAAATAAAAGAAAAACCACACAAGTGGACAACGTACCCAGAGTGAACAGAGCCAGCTGCTGTTATAGGTGAAAACTAGCTACTCACTACCCTGTGCCCCACCAGTGCTATAACTACCACTTACCCCAAGGTAAACAAGGGAGGAAAACCCCCAAACACTCGAGGCGGCCAAACGCCAAGCAGTGAAAAGCCAACAGAGGTAGAACCAATGTGACTTGTGGAAGGCAACTCCAAGCTCCAAGGGCAGTACTTACAGGGCACTCAGGGAAGGTGACCCTAAGCACATGCAGCCCGAGTACCTGAGAATACTACTCCCAGCTCACACAACCACCGTAAGAGCAGCACTGAAAACAAGTCACAGCACTGAGACAAGACCGGAGCTGGAGCCACACAATCATGCACTATCCTATCAGCCAAGGAACTGGGGCAGGGATCGCTGGCGCACGGGTCTGGGGCTCCCCCTTCCCCCTCCCAGGAAGGGAAGAGCTGCGCAGACATGCGGCGCGGCTCGTGTGACGTTATGCTTGTTTGTTCGTTTTTCTTGGGGAGTTCTGTCCACTTGTTTGTCGATTTTCGTTGTTAACCAGAATAGGGGTTTGTTTTGTGGCGCTTACCTTTCTGGGTGCCTGTCCCGGTCGATGGTAGATATAGAATGCTCCAAATCACATGTGCATTTCTATGGACCATTGCTCCCCGTGCCCTTATAAGGAGGCCAGGTTCTGGCTCGTGGTCCCCGGTAGGCCTAGAACTCCACCCACATCGACTGATGCAAAATAGTTAGGGTATCCATATCAGCCATGGATAGCTCCGGGTAGCCGTAGGGGCTTCCCCAGAAAAGGAGCTGAATGATTTAAAAAATTGTAAGATAAGCTTTAAGATGTCTTCATTAAGAAGAATAATAAGTGAATATAAAGGGTAATACATTATTATCTGCTTTTTTAATTGGAAACCTAAGAAGAAATTATTAGACTTACAGTACTGCACTGTTAGAAAATGGTCGAGTGAACATTTGAAAGACACTAGATAAAAATATAAATTCTCTTTCTTACAAGTACTGTACACTACATCCAATCACACTCACCTGCACATTCAAACCTATGAGTCTTTTGCCTGCAGAGTCAGTCATACAAGTATTTCACCTGCCCATCCAGTCACACAAATCTCTCTCTCCTGCACATCTAATCACACGAGTCTCTTATCTGCAAATACATATGGGGTCTCTGTAGTACAGTCGAGTTTGTTCTCGACTCACAATAGGGAATTCTGGGTTTGCATCCCAGGTGGGAAAGAAATGATTGGGCACATTTCTCAATCATTTCATACTGGGAGTGTCATAGGCCAGTCAGGGTTGGCTCCAGTGCCACACTTTACAAAACACTAGCATCTAACTACCCTTCCAACCCTGCTGTGCAATATTCATGTAGCCAAATCTGAAATATTGGTTGTGTTGCCTATAGACTTATTTAGCAGTTTCAGTACTTTGTTATATACATTTTCTGAGAGACAGAAAGAGGACGGAGGGGTAGAGAAGGAAAGAGAAGGGGGAAGAGGGATGAAAGGTGGAGAAGTGAGAGAGGAGGGAGACCATATAAGAGAGAGGGTGGAGAGGGAGAGGTGTGAGAGAGGGGATGTTGGAAGAGAGGGATGGGGAGAAAAGTAGAGAGGGTGGGAGAGAGAGGGGAGATTGGGAGAGAGGATGAAGAGCGGGGAGGGAGAGGAGAGGGAGATTGGAAAACAAAAATGAGAGGGGACAGAGAATGGGGGAAAGAGAAAGAGGAGAGAGGGAAGGGGGAGAGGAGAAAGACCCAGGAACAGCTAGGTATCCCCTCTAGTACAATATATCACAAGAGTCACACGAGTCTCACCTGCATATCCAATCACACGAGTCTCACCTGCACATCCAATAACACGAGTCTCACCTGCATATCCAATCACACGAGTCTCACCTGCACATCCAATCACATGAGTCTCACCTGCACATCCAATCACATGAGTCTCACCTGCATATCCAATTGCATGAGTCTCACCTGCATATCCAATTGCATGAGTCTCACCTGCATATCCAATTACATGAGTCTCACCTGCACATCCAATCACATGAGTCTCACCTGCATATCCAATCACATGAGTCTCACCTGCACATCCAATCACATGAGTCTCACCTGCATATCCAATCACATGAGTCTCACCTGCATATCCAATCTGAAGAGCCAATTTTGACAGCTTCAGCTGCAAGACTGATTTTTCACTTTTTTCTTCTGGTTGACCTTTTGATTTTCCTGCTTCCTTTCCCTCCTTTCCTTTGTCTGTAAATAGTAAGTAATCTATACAGTACAATAACAGTTTCCTAGCTGCATTTGCATGCACAATAAAGATCGAGTTACCCGAGGCTCCGATAAAACCAGTGTTGAATGTAATGAAATGCCAGTTTCTGGGTGGTTACAAAACTTCCAAACAAACAATTGTAGCTTGTCAGTTTTCTTTCTGGGGAGTTCTTTTGCTATTTTGAAGATGTAGGTTGCAATTATCAACCAGATAGTGGTCTGTTTTGTTTCACCTACCTTTCTGGGTGCCTTCTCTGGTCGATGACAAGTATTATATACCATACTTTAAAAGTGAAGTGTTCATAGGCCAATGCTCCCTGCATCTCTCTGAGGAAGCCAGGCTCTGGCACTGGTTACTGGTAGGCAACAAGAACTCTGCGACTGGTGACCCCAAATAATATAGCATTATTTCAGTATTACGAACATAAGAATGAAAGTAACTACAGAAGGCCTATTGGCCCATACAAGGCAGCTCTTATTTATATCCACCCAATCTCATTCATATATATATATATATATATATCTAACCTATGCCTGAAACAACCAAGGGATCTCACCTCTACCATTTTACACAGTAATTGGTTCAACAAATCAACAACCCTGTTACCAAACCAATATTTACCCAGGTCTTTCCTAAATCTAAACTTATCCAATTTATACTCATTGTTTCGTGTTCTGTCTTGTGTTGATACTTTTAATACCCTATTAATATTCCCTTCCTTTGTTATGTCCATTCATCCACTTGTTCACCTCTATCATGTCACAACTAATTCTTCGCCTTTCTAGAGAATGTGCTACATAGTCTTCCCGGCTTGGTGCCTTCTTTGATAATTATTTACTTACTTTCTAGAGAATTTAATTTAGGCTTTGTCAATCTTTCTTCATATGACAGGTTTCTAATTTGGGGGATTAACTTTGTCTTCTTACGCTGGACGTATCCTGTGAATTTATATCCATTCTATAGTACGGCGACCAAAACTGAACTGCATAATCTAAATGGGGCCTAACCAGAGCAAGATATAGCTGGAGAACAACACCAAGTGTCTTATTACTAATGTTTCAATTAATAAATCCCAGTGACCTATTTGCCTTATTACAAACATTTATGCATTGATTTTCTGGTTTTAATTTCTTACTAATCATAACTCCCAGATCCCTTTCGCAATCCGAATTCGCAATCTCAACACCATCTAGCTCGTATCTTGTAACTCTACCTGGCCTCAAAACCTTACATTTGTCAGCATTAAACTGCATCTACCAATCTTTTGACCATTGATATTGATAGCTATAGGAAGCTGATGGGACTCCCCACAGAATAATATCTTGTGGTATCCAAAATCCATCACACACGAAAAACTAACTTTTATTTACTTGAGGATCACCATATTTCTAGTGTCCTTCATGGACAACAGAAGGCTGATGGTTGGTTTTTCTGGCCGAACTAAAGCTCATCACTGGGTCTTGGAAATTAATATGTTCTGTAATTTCATGAATTGTCAGTTTCATCAAGGTAAATATTATTATTATTATTAGTATTATTATTAATATTATAGTAGAATAACAGCTAGTACAGTACAGTGGCACCTTGATTAACTAGATTAATCCATTCCGGCACCAAGCTCGTCATGTGGAATTCTCGTCTTACGAAACAACAGCAAAACTGTCGTAAAAGGTGTCCGAGAACCAGCGGAAACGCTCGTTAATCGAGGAAAAGCTTGTTAGTAGTGACAAATGTTCTGCGAGTGGCTCATTCATTACTCGAAATGCTCGTAGATAGAGCCCTCATTAATCAGGGTGCCACTGTATATATAAAAAAAAACTTGTTACTTTTGTGGCTAGTAACAGTACTGTGCATAAATAAATAATAGAAACTAATTTTGGTAATACAGGTTAATATATGTCACACCACCCACTCGAATAATTCCTGTTGTAGGTGACAAGAAGCCTATATTGTACTTAGGCTTAACGAGGTCCTTCCCATGGCCAACTACTGACCATTCCCAGAATGTAACCCACAACTGCTTGGTGGCTATTTACTGCTAGGTGAACATAGGTATCGGGTGAAAGTAATATTTGTGCAAATGTTTCTGTCCTGCAACAGGAAATAAACCCAGGACTTTTCAACTATGATCCAACTGCACTTACCACTACATGACAGAACTCCTATTAATTCAGGCCTCCATATTTTATTTTCATGTGAAATATGGAGCTAAATAAGTAAAGAGAATTGTGTTTGCCATATCTTTACTTAGTGTCTTAAGGAGTAGTAGTTACAGTATGTGTATGGACAATGCCCTAAAAATAAGTTAGATTTATTGTCTTGCCCTAATAGATTATTTCTTGTATAACCCTTGCACAGAAGCCCTCCAGAATTTCTTTATAGAAGATCAGCATTATTCCAAATAGATAACAAAAACTATAACTCAACTCAGAATGTATCAGGTTCATGATTTGTACCAAGAGAAACAACAACGGCACTTTCCTGCACCGTGGGAGATTACAGTTCCTTTCCAGCTTTAATCCCTCCCTTTCCACCCAAGAAGCAAATTAGAGATCAGCCCAAGCTTCGTCTTGAGGCAAAGCTCAATGCCTTAAGCCATATTGATGCTCTGTCCACAGAGCATTCTCTCTCTCAAATCATATACACTGATGGTTCCCTACACCGCACCACGGGTGCAGCTGGAAGTGCAGTTGTCCTGACAATGGGCGATGGCTTGTACTTTGAGTGGGGAGTCCGTATAAACAACTGGGCCTCTACCTTTCAGACCGAACTATTTGCCTTGCTCCTTGCACTGAAATGTGTACAAGTCTCCAAACTTGATACATTAATTGTAAGTGACTCCTTATCATCCTTAAATGCTCTCAACTCTAAGATATACGTAACTGTAACATGCTCGTGTCCGAAGCTAGACACAAATACAACAAAATTATTAAGGATGGTAACAGAGTCCATTTCATGTGGTCTCCATCTCATGTTGGCCTCCAAATGCATGATAGAGCTGATAAGTTAGCCAAAGAATCTGCCTTTAAAGGAGCCGTTAAGTGTAACCTTGGATTGTCAATGAGCAATCTGAGAGCAACGTACACTGAGAACTTCAACAAGATCTTGTAGATCTGAGGAAAAGTGAAATTGACACCAGTAATTCCATCTATCATCATACTATCATGCAAGAGGAGCCACACATCTATGGTTCATCCAGTAAAATCAGCAGACTTCTAGATGTTACTACTGCTTGGCTTAGACTTGGTTACAAGTACTGGTATCTCTGGGAATTTTCATTATCTGCCGATGTAGACCTGACCAAATGTAAACTGTGTCAACAATATTATTCGCACACTCTCCGTCACTATATGATGGAGTGCGAAAAGACATGTGAATTTAGAGACAATTCTATAACCAATGTTCCAACGATGTGTAAATATTTCATTCAAAATGATCTGCTACCAGAAATTTTAGCCAAATATCCCCTGTTTGCTAACTGTAGGTAGTAACTAAGTGACTGTAACCTATCCACTGCTGCCCACTGGATGGGGGGCGGTGTGCAGGACAAACATATCAATTGTGACACTAGCTCTCCACATATGTCAGTTGCTTAATTTAGAAACTGTACTTGTGGTCAATCTCGAATCCATTGTTGATGTGACGACTTATATTGAATTTCGTAACTAGCTCATCAAGATTGTAACTTGCTTAGCTAAATGAATTGTGTGGTTCAGTCCCTGAGCCCATTATGTGCCTCTGTAACCCTTTTCACTACCGCCCACAAGATGGGTATGGGGTGCATAATAAATGAACTAAACTAAAAAAAATTAACTATCGAGCCATAAATGCTAAAACACTGTTGAATTTTAAAATACAGTTTAATAAAACTATCAGAAAAAATTGGGGATGAGGGGGACTTTGAAAAGCTACTGGCTTCCTGTCCTCATACAAATACAATACAAAATACAACAAATACAAATATTTATTCAGGTAAAGTACATACATAGATACAAAATGTTGATGGATTTATAGATAGAGCTAGTACATACAATGCCTAAAGCCACTATTACGCAAAGCATTTCGGGCAGGAAAAACACTAAGACTAAAACTTAATACTAATTGAGATCAAAGTATAAATTGTGTTGAGAAAAAATAAGAAAAAAAAATAAAAAAAAGGGGGGGGGGGAACATGGCAGAAAAAAAAAATACAATTTGGTCAACAAAACAGCATTGTTTAAAATAGAAGACATGGGTTGACATTTTGGTGGCGAGGTAGGTTACATTGAGTTAATTAGTAGTACTTAGTTTTTATCTTAAACTGGTTGGGAGAGGTACAGTCTTTAACATAATTGGGAAGGTCATTCCACATTCGAGGTCCCTTGATTTGTAAAGCATTTCTAGTTTGACTAAGTCATACTCTTGGAATATCAAATAGGTATTTGTTTCTGGTGTGGTGCTCATGCGATCTGTTACAACCTTCTAGGAAGCTTTTAAGGTCAGGACTGACATTACAGTTCAGCGTTTTATATATATAAAATACACATGAGAGGATGTGCAGGGACTTAATATCTAACATATTCAGAGATTTGAGTAAGGGTACCGAGTGATGTCTGGGGCCAGAGTGAGATATTGTCCTAATAGCAGCTTTGTGTTCTCATCAAGGCTACTAAAGTACTAGTGGCTCTCAGATAAATTCAGGTAAATACCAATGTCTCATTTAGAGTTCCATTCTTTACCTAGGTATACAGGTGGTGGTTAGGTTAGCAGAAATACAATTAACACACTACAACTCATTGCCAGGTAGAGACAAAAAACATTTGTAATTACCTAAGTGTAATTACTTGACAACTTAACTTGCTTACAGTTCTTGCAATGTATCTACATCATCACAAGCCAACCATCAGCTTTTAAGATTCACCAATAACAACTAAACATTACCTGTGGCACCGAGGAGGGTCATGATGATGCCAGCCTGCGAGTTGACACCAATACCGGTCACTACCATTCTCCCGCTCCCCTCCATCACTGTTGTCCCTGTTGGCACACCAAGTATTGTAAGGGGGTAAGAATGACAGAAAGCTGGACATACCTGATAAGACAACCCGTTCTCACACAAGACAGCACATATATGACTTAATGCTTAAAGTCAATATGTTGAATATGAATTAGTAAATATGTGATATATTCCCAGTTACTTTTTTTTCCAAGGCCCAAACTCTTCCTCACGTACCAACTTGCGTCTCACAGTACCCGTCCGTCAACCTAGATAGCAGAATAGTCGTGATTGGTTCAATTATAAGGAAAATTGTACTTTTCAGGTCCCACATGGGTTGTGAAATTTACCTACTATTGTCCATGCTCTTAGAATATTATAGATCAGCTACTTCCTATTGAAGGTTCGTAGTTTTGTTTTGAGAAATATTAGTTGTTCTTAGTAAATTATAATAAGCACTAAAAATTATTACATAGAATAACAGTCCTTCACCAATTAATATTATATACCATAGTTGGTGCTTTACAAATCTTTAAAGGATGTTTTGTAGGAACGCTAACAGAAAACGAGGTTCATTGGAATGTCTATGGGGTAAACTACTCTAAACAGGATGGTATTGTGTCTACTATACCAACTACAGGATCGGTATATTTTTTTTTTTTTTTTTTTTTTTTTTGAGATATATACAAGAGTTGTTACATTCTTGTACAGCCACTAGTACGCGTAGCGTTTCGGGCAAGTCCTTAATCCTATGGTCCCTGGAATACGATCCCCTGCCGCGAAGAATCGTTTTTTCATCCAAGTACACATTTTACTGTTGCGTTAAACAGAGGCTACAGTTAAGGAATTGCGCCCAGTAAATCCTCCCCGGCCAGGATACGAACCCATGACATAGCGCTCGCGGAACGCCAGGCGAGTGTCTTACCACTACACCACGGAGACTGCTATATTGTCCACTACTACCTGTTAGGTGAGTAAGGGGTGCAATACCACCCACAGGATGGGTATGAGGGTCACATCCACCCAGAGGATGAGTATGGGGATCACATCCACCCACAGGAAGGGTATGGGGTCCAATACCACCCACAGGATGAGTATGGCGTCCACTACAACCCACAGGATGGGTATGGGGCTCCAACCACCCATAGAATGGGTATGGGGCTCCAACCACCCATAAAATGGGTATGGGGTCCAATAATACCCACTGGATGTGTATATGGCATCCATTGCCGCGCGTCGAGCTCGAAAACCGCAGCATTCATCTCAGAACCATGCCTATTTCACGCAGATTCCTCAATAAACGTAAAAGTTTTATATGTCACAAGAAAGATAGAAATATAAGCTTCATTCTAAATACCTTACCATGGGCATATTTAAATTTAAACCGAAGATACGTGTACTTTTATAATAGCCGAGCTCCGACCCCGGACAGATCGATCGACCGAGCAACTCTCTCTCAGAACAATGTTTATTTCACGTGAATTCGTTAGTAAACATATATGTTTTATATGTCTCAAGAAAGACAGACATATAAGCTTCACTTTAAACACTTTACTATAGACATATTTAAATTTCTAATGAAGATTATTGTATTTTAAAAATTACGGAGCTCCCACCCCGTACAGACTGAACGACAGAGCAACTCTCTCTCAGATCAATGTTTATTTCACGTAAATTCGTTAATAAACACAAATGTTTTATAAGTCTTAAGCAAGATAGAAATAAGAGCTTCATTTTAAATACATTACAATAGACATATTTATAGCTCAAGTGAAGATACATATGTTTTTATAGTAGTGCTCAGTAGCTTGTCGGGCATGGAGTGCAGACGCCTACGCACTTGCCGATATATTGTATAATTAACAAAGATACGCTAATAAAGCCTAAAATCTTATATGCCTCCAGAAAGACCGATATATGAACATTATTATAATTGCACCAAATGAAATATATCATGTTCGAGAACAAAGATATATCAATTTTAAATTAAGTTTCGACTCTCTCTCGGGTGAGAGAGATGGGGCGACTCTCGCCCCATCTATTGGAGATTCTGTGCACTAAATACCCAAAGCTACTCAAACCCTCCTAGCATTATTTAAGTAATGAAGTAACATGGTATATTTACTCACTATAATGTGGGTGCTGAATGCAGAACATGAGAAAACATATATTTACTCCAAACTAATATAATTTCATTATGAAATAAGTAGCATCAAAGAAAGTCGATGGTCCAAGCAGCAATGTTGTGGAGCGACTTATCCAAGATATATCGTTGTTTGGAAAGTGTTTGTTGGCATATCCAGTTGTCGCACTTCTCTGCTCAAATTATCACAAATTTAAATTATAATGTTAACAAGTAGAATACGTATTTTTAATAAAATCTAACATAACTAGCCAGAAAACATTTAACATTAATTAAAAAATATATGTTTGGAAGTTAAATCGACTTCATAGGACAATGGTTTTGTTATATATACTCGTTATTCGTTGACATGCGTTCGCTACTTAAACTACCATGTACTGTACTTATGTAAAATCTCCCATGTCTCTTCGCTCATCTCACCGAACCCTACAGGCTCTGTGATATATTGTTTAATTAATTGAGATTCACAAATAAAGCTTATAATTGTATATGTTATCAAAAAGGCAGAGCTTAGTTTAGTTCATTTATTATGCACTCCATACCCATCCTATGGACGATAGTGGAGTGTTACAGAGGCACATAATGGGCTCAGGGAATGAGCCCCACAATTCATATAGCCAAGCAAGTTATAATCTTGATAAGCTAGTTACAAAAGTCAATACACATTGTCACATCAACAATGGGCTCGAGACCGACCACAGGTACAGTTTATAATTTAAGCAACTGACATATATGGAGATCTAGTGTCACAATTGATATGTTTATCCTACACATAACCCCCTCTCCCCCATCCAATGGGCAGCGGTGGATAGGTTACAATCAAGTCGTTTTTTGCGTTTTATCCAGAGATTAGATCTTATTGGGTGAGGAAAGATATTCATATTTTAAAGAAGGCTTCTTGGCTGATGCTCTCCATTGATGGAAAATATACAACCTTTTGAAAATCAATGTTAGTTTGATCTAGATATTGTAATTAACGAAAGTATTTATGTCATCTGAAAGGTAGAAATATAGGCTACATTTAAAATCCTTTGTCATAAATATAACTGAAGTGAAAACGAAGATATATGCGTTTTGATAGTTACTTGATGGCTTGCTCTGAGAGTGTGAAGCCCTGCACACCAGCCAATAAATTGTATAATTAGTTTCCATATATTTTAATTAATCTTAAAAATCTATATGTCAGAAGAAAGGAAGATGTAGCCGTTAATGTGACAACATTTAAAAATATATATATCTTAAGTTAAATAAATAATACCACCTTATTGCCGGTGTCCGGACACATGAAAATTACCTAGGTATCAGTATCCAGCCAGGCGGGGATCACAGGCTGCACAATACTGATAAATTTATGTAATGCACTACTTGTGGTCGATCTCGAACCCATTTATGATGTGACGACTTATAGTGAATTTTGTAACTAGCTCATTAAGATTGTAACTTGCTTAGCTAAATGAATTGTGGGGTTCGGTCCATTCATTTTCTTTCTTTATTATGCACCCCATAATACACATCCCGTGGGCGGTGGTGTAAAGGATTACAGAGGCACATAATCGGTTCAGGAACTGAACCCTCTAGTTCGTTTAGCTAAGCAAATAACAATCTTTTGACGCTAGTTACAAAATTATTAATGTACACATACTTATGCATACATGTACATATTCATACGTATACATATATACATACACATACATATTTAATCACCACCACAAATACACACATCAGTAATCTTTTGTGTCACAAGAGATTCAACAAGAGGCTCACAACAGTCACTATACAAGGCACTTTACATTTATGGTGAGTCACACAGTTACTAGTCTTGCTGCACACCCACCCAACTGGGCGGCAGCTTTACAGTCATGTGCTCCACACCCACCCAACTGGGCGGCAGCTTTACAGTCATGTGCTCCACACCCACCCAACTGGGCGGCAGCTTTACAGTCATGTGCTCCACACCCACCCAACTGGGCGGCAGCTTTACAGTCATGTGCTCCACACCCACCCAACTGGGCGGCAGCTTTACAGTCATGTGCTCCACACCCACCCAACTGGGCGGCAGCTTTACAGTCATGTGCTCCACACCCACCCAACTGGGCGGCAGCTTTACAGTCATGTGCTCCACACCCACCCAACTGGGCGGCTGCTTTACAGTCATGTGCCCCACACCCACCCAACTGGGCGGCAGCTTTACAGTCATGTGCTCCACACCCACCCAACTGGGCGGCAGCTTTACAGTCATGTGCTCCACACCCACCCAACTGGGCGGCAGCTTTACAGTCATGTGTATGCATTACCTACAGTAAGCAAATTTTGGATACTTCGCTAAGATTTCGAGCAGCACATCATTATGAATGAAGTACTTACACATTTCATGGACACTATTGATGTTGTTATCTTTAAATTCCGCGATTTTTCACATTCCATTATATAATGACGCAAAGTATGCGAATAGTTCTGCTGACAGAGTTTACATTTAGTCAAATCTACATCATCAGATGTTACAAACTTCCAGAGGTACTTGTAGCTGAGCCTAAACCTAGCAGTTGTAACATCTAGAAGTCTGCTAACATTATTGGATGACCCATAGACGAGCGATTCATCAAAGTTTATACAATATTGTGAAATTGACAGTCAGTGTAGTAACATAAATTGGTAAATCATAAATATTGTAAGTTAAGAATCTGATGCATGTGTGTGTGTTGGGAGGGGCGGGGGTTATACCCTTGGTAAGCGAGAGTGGAAAGTAACCTTAGACGTACTGCGGTCAATGTGTGGGGAGGGGGGGAGTTGGAGGGAGGGTGGGAGAGTCAAATCCACCCTCCAACATCTGGACATAGTACCACCAGCCTCCACAACACTCCATCAGCCTCCAGCTGATGCTTGTAGATGCCTCATCTA